TGGTATTCTCTTGACAGCCTTTTCATGGTCAAAACCGGTTCCCATTGAGTTACGCCGCCCAAACCAAATTTTCACCTGGTTTCCCTATGCCACTTTATTTTGTATAATAAGTGCTGTGTCATGTTACTTTCAAGACCAAGCACCTGTGTGCCCAAATCTGCGCTTTACACAGCCCGCTATAACACAACATTTTGGGTCGAATATTGGATATCCCGTACAGCTTTATTTCTTTATTCATTAGAAACATAACTTTCACACCTGTTGTCTTAAAGAAACTTGGCACTCTTCGTGCACAAACTTAGTGAACATCTCACTTGCCTCCAAATATCATCGTTCCAGCAGTCCTAGGTTTACAGCGACGAGCGAAATAAATTTCCCACCCAGAGCAATCAAGGTGGTGGCCGTCTTGTTTTTCGGAAAATTGCTCCAACTCCTTTTTTCGGCCGCAACTAGAGAAATTACCCCTAATAACGACTCAAACTCAATTTATAAGAAGTGGAGAACAGCTAGAAGCCCTTTTTAGGTCTACCCCAGTACTCATGCAACGTCACCCTCAACTTATCGGCTCAAAAAGCAAAAGTTTCGTCCGTGCGCGCTTCCGCCGCCACATCTTGGCATGCGAAAAGGCGCCGCAGGCTGCTGAACGCGCCTCACGGTCGAACGCCAGCTCCTCCGCTAGCGGCGCTGCGCGCGTTTTTCAAGGATAGGCTAGGTGGCGTAAGCTACCGCCCGATCCAAAGGGCTCAGCCGTATTCATCCATCCATCCATCCATCCATCCATCCATCCATCCATCCAAGGACAGGGTAAGGGTTCAGGGCGAGGGAAAGCAAGGGTGGGGTGGAGAAAGTAGGCGAAATGGTGGAGAGAGGGGGATGTTTCCTTCTCTCCTCTACAGCGATCCATCTGCATCCTCACTCCAGCCTTCCTTTCCCTCGCCCTGAAGTCTGTCACCGACATACACGCTCCCGTCGTTACTTCAAGTTTCAGAGTGAACGTGCAATAAATAAAGTCCCTTTCCGAAATTTCTGTGTATACAATACCTTTCCTCTAGCTAGGAAACTCACTTTTATTCCTGGTTAGTGGGTGAATGACCCTTTGAAATCGAAGTGCCTTCATTGCGAAAAATTAAAAATAATAGGGACCTTTCGCAGATCGCACGAAAGAGCTTTGCGTTACTAGCCGGAGCTCCTGCCGTCGTTTTGAGCTCATATATAGTACGCCGCGATTTGCAGCGCAGAATGTACAAAGAGGTCCTAATGAGAAAGCCACGTTCTACGTGTAACACTAACATTAACGCGTTATTTGTATTTCGAAGTAACGTGGAGCGGTTACGCGAATTACTCCTATTGTTAAGTATACTACTTTTTTGCTTTGCTACTTCCGTCTTGAGCAACAACCAGCAACAACATAATACATGGTCACAGGCTTTGGTTCAGCTAGTTGGTACTATCGCAGACACCATTAGCTATAACATTTTAGCCGTGGCAGTTCCGTACCCCCCGCCCCACATATACGGGTGTTTCTTTGTTTTTGTTTTTAGCTGCACCACTAACACTTCCCCAGGGCTCAAATTACTCTATCTCACGTCCTCTTTTTTTGAAAATTTGGTGCAGCTAAAAAAAAAAGCACCCTGTATACTCTAAGAAAAAAAGCCCATGTGTCCATGTGACTATCCGAGTATTGTGAGGGAAAGTAGACGCACGGGCTTTTTCTTAGAGTGTAGCAGGCGCACTCCTAAACCCCGTGCCTTCCACGCCTACCCTGTGCGGCGGAATCGCTCTTCCAGACTGCGATAACACTCTCTCCTTGCATGCCGTCTGCTATGCGCAAAGCGCCGCCACAGCACTTGCCAACGTTGACTTCACAGGCTTTCGTGCGTTGCCTCTTTCGGAGCTTCCCCGAGTCACGGAAACTAGTCAGGCAAACAACCAACGAAAAGGACACACAGAGCTAAGCATAATCATTGCCGATTACTGCATACCTATCTCGGTAGATTACTCTTATTGATCGGAAAGACGCCTTTTAATGACTGTTGCTTACGTCAGAATTGCTGCTCAATTATGCTTAGCTCGGTATGCCCCCTTCGTTGGATGTTTGGCTGATTTGTTTTTACGAGTCGGGAAATCTCCGTACCGAAAGAGCCACCCACAAAAGCCCGTGAAGCCAACGTCGGCCAGTGCTGTGGCAGCGGCTGCTTTGCGCATAGCAGACGACAAGGAGAGAGTGTTAATTATCGCAGCCTGGAAGAGCGATTTAGCTGCATAGAGTAGGCGGGGTAGGCCCGGTGTTTCAGATTGCCTCCGCTATAAGCCGCTGGGGGTACGGAACGACCACTGCTGCTGTGTTATATCTACGAATTTCCGCTATAGTACATATTATAGTGACGGGTCAGCTTGAACACACAGAAACAGACGTAGAAAGGAACGGACACGACAAAGCAGCTGACTAGCAGCTTTAGTACACTTTGTGTGTATAATCGTCGTCTTGAGAAGCTGTTCATATATATACAAGATAACGATTTGTTTTAAATATTATGTGCAGTACACAAGGAAATTGTTAAATGTATCATTACTCGCTCCTCCTGCGAGTTATCTGCGCGTGGTACACCGCAAATTCTGTTGCGTTCTTTTTTTGTGTGTGTGCGTGTGGATAATGATGGACGAGGTGCTAACAGATTCCTCCGCGTGTTCTTCCATAGCCTCCTCTATACTCACAAAGCCTGGCAATTCGACGACGGAGCCATAGAGTGCCGGTCGCAGATTTGGAGCGCGAGGATCTGGTAGCACAGAGCATTTCTCGGGGACCCTGGTATTCAGCGCACAGCTATTGCAGCGGCGAGGACGCGAAACATGGTTTTCAAACCCGACGAGACAAGAAGCGGTAGCGCGAGGAACGCAAGGAGCACGAGCGGACATTCCATCGCTCGGGACAAGAGTTTTTCGGCGACTCGCCGCAGTGGGGCGCACGTTACATGACTCTCCTCTCATCCGTTGTCTGCTGCTCTACCTTTTCACTTTCGGCGGCCGCGTCTCGTGGCGATCTGCCAGGCTTTGTCACTATAAAGGAGGCTATACGGTTCTTCAATGGCCAAGAGCATGTCACGTGCAAAAGGATTATTGTTTGTCGCAAGAATTAGGGAACATGCAGCATGTGCGAAGGGCACAGCAGCAGGGCATTTACCAGCTCGATCTAGGACACGAAAATGCAGTGTGGTATTTAGCAACATCGACATTCTTGGAACAAACAAGAATCCTTTTGCACGTGAGATTTCCGAGGCTATCTAAAAAGACGCGGAGGAATGTGTTAGCGCATCGTCCCTATCTCTATCCACGTCAAAGAAAAACAGTATTTGCGGTGTGCTACACCAAGATAACTGGTAGGAGAAATTTTAGTGGTTAACTGTAAATTTAGTAATTTCCTTATGTCTGATATTATTTAAAACTAATATTTATTTAGCTTATATATGAACAGCTTCTGATGAAGACGATTGCACATACGAAGAAGTGTACTAAAGCAAAGTTGTTTGTCAGCTGTTCTTTATTGTCGTGTCCTTTTTACGGCTGTTGTTCAAACTGACCCATCTTATCCTACGTGATTGCTTCAAGAGTTCGTTGTTCGTGCGAGGGAGAATAAGTCAAATATTCCATTATACGCTTAGAACGCTACTGCTTTTTAATTTGACTCTTCAAAGAAACTGTGTGTACAACCAAACACACACTCTGCGAGACTTTTAGCACAAACAAACCATCGGCGGCTCTTTTTTTTCACTATTGAAGGATTGTCATCAAAACTACTGTAGTGCTGGGAAGTGATTAGCTAAACTACTAGCCTATGTGGTAGTAAAAATGCAAAAAAGCACCGAAGTCATGTCCGCACTATGAGTGTTGCACAGCGTACAACATCAAAAGAGACGCATGCAGAAACGTAAACCTGAAATCATCGGCAACACTGCTGGATAGTTCGTTTTTATCCTGAAAAAGAAAATAAATGGCACAATGATTTTTTTTTTTAAATTCAGATGTGGCCCATGAGTCCGACGTCATTACAATCCCCAGGAAGATTACGTTTATTCACCATCGTGGGACGAGACATTAGGTGACCCCAAGAAACCTATACAAAAAACAGTGTCAAAATTAAAAATACAAAAAAAAAAAAGTTTCCGAGTTAAATCTGAAGATTTTAAGTGCCGAACCAAACGAAGAGAATCTGGCATGCCCCAGAGAAGGAATGATAATTATCTTCTATCACCTGGGGATCTCTTGACGTGCTATTGAAATCTCGCTTACACGACGCCTTTCACGCAAGAAGCTTCTGTCAGACTGCGGACAGCTCGACCGGGCACAACACAAGCTCCTGGTACCGTAACTAGTCATAACAAAAATCGCATCTCTTCCATCTCTCTTATTCTTTAGGAAAAACAACGATTTCTGAGGTTCTTCGACTGAGATCAAGTTTTTACGGTGAAATTTTCTCGAGAACAACCGAGCGATTTTGTCGCAAGAGAGGAATGTCCTAGAACGTTAAGAATGATTTGTACTCGTAGAGGACAATAACTTCATTGTTCTACGGACATTAACAAAAACAAATGGTCGAAAGATTAACTTTTATGGTGCAAGACGGACTAGAAATTAAAAAAAAAGCCACACTTTGCCTAATTTTGGTCATTTGCCTGGCTGTGGAGCGAAACAAGGGAATAAAAAATATATCATAAACAAAACAATAATAATATATTTCCGAACGACTGAAGTCAAGCAAAAAAAAAAAAAAAACAGAAATCGACGAGTAATAAGGGAAATAAGTTATAATCTACGACTGAACTCAATTTATTTCCACCGAGTTGCATAATAAACCATAATTCATGTAATAAGAAGAAAAATACTACAGAGCTGGATATCTAAAACTCTCCCCCCCCCCCCCCCCCCACACACACACACAAAAAAAAAAAGAGAAGTAAAAAAATATGAAAAGAGAAAGATCTAAGGATTTGGCCGAGGATTACCATTTAGAAATGGCGGCACACCAACTCCACTCCGAGGCACGGTCGTGTTGAAGAGGATCTTGTGCAGAATTTTCTCGCCGTCGGGAACGCCGATCTCGAGTTCGCAGTAGCCGACGCGGTCGATCAGGTACTGGCGAGAAATGCAAGCCGTCAGTTCATTTGCTCTAAAACCTCCAACAGCTTAAGGAACGCAGTGCGTAGCCTATTACTATCACGCTTTTTGCTTCTTCATTCGTTCTCTGGCTTTCTTTTCAGCTGATGCCACAGTGCGATTGGCGGTGGAAGGATGACAAGATTCCCGGCGGGATCGGTTACGCCCTGCGTGCCTTGAGCTTTCAGTGAAGAGAATCTGGACGTGCTGACTCGAAACGAAACATATGCATCTCATTTGCGACAATCTCCGTGAAAGCGCTGACAATACTAGAACCCAAGGATGCATCAAAAGCAGAACGCAGAGACTGGGGTCATAATATCTTTACCTCGTACCCTAGCCACAATTATGTCTTCACCGAAAGTATCGTGTTAGGTTCTTGAGTATTTCGTTTGAAGAAGAACAGTGCGGCACTGCGTGCGAATTGCAGGTTTGACTCCGCCACACGAGACACCATAGCGGGCATCGGTGCACAAATTTATTCTTCTTGTTCTTCTTTCTAACGTATGCGGAGGGCAAATTCGTCTGCTTATTTTGCAGGGGCTGTGGCGACTTCAGAACGCTGAGCTCTGACTGGCTCTGATTGAGAGATAGTGGGTAAACCCCAAAGCAAGCTTCCTTGAGGTTTACCGATTATTCCTCAACCAGGGCCAGTCAAAGCCTGGCGTTCTGACGTCCCCACATCCCCTGCAAAATAAGCAGACGAACTTGCCCTCCGCATACGAAATAACCGGACGCGTGCGACACTTTCGCGGACAACAAGCAAGCGCGTCTTTGACTAGGTCAAACGTTGCCACGCCACGCGACATGAGAGCAGAGAAACAAGCGGTCTGTAATCTCAATTAAGGTACGGGGTTGAAACACCGCCGGCCCGCTCTTTTTTTTTTAATGTCTGTTCGTCTCAAAAGGTTCGTTCTTTCTTGGCTGTGATCGTGCGTTCTGACGTAGATAAATCGTGAACATAGACAGTATATATACATCAACACGCGACCCCCAACGTCAGGCCGCTGCCCACTTTTTTCCATTGAAGGTTTCAAAAAATCACATAACTTTTGGAAAAAAATAACGGTTGTACTTTGTTTCACCTTAGGTCCGAGCAGGCACGTAGCCAGGGAGGGGAGCATGCCCCCCCCCGAAATCTTCTATTTTGCTGGGACCTCCTCTCCCCCTCACACAGCATTTTGTCATGGCGGGCCCCGGGCCCCGCCACCCTCCCTCTCCTTCTCCCCCCCCCCCCCTCCCTCCCCCCGCAACAAAATCCGGGCTATGTGCCTGGGTCCAACTGTGGCCGGTGTTATGAGCCGAAGGGCCAATCTAACAGCGAAAAAAGCGCACCGTCATGGCGTGCTTTCCGCAGTTGATAGAACCAACGTCGTTCGCCGTCTTTTAGAGCATGCTCCTCCGCCGGCGTGTCCTATAAAGAGCGGAGAACACCATGACGATGTACTTTTTGCGCCCTTTGATTGGACCTTCGGCTCATAACAACGGCCACGCTCGGACCTAAGCTAAAACCAAGTATATAAATGAATCTTTGGCATCTGGTTTGCACCGCTTGCACTACCTCTGGGCGGAGAATGAGCGTTTGGCAATGCGTAGTTTATTTTTACGGTAAGAAAGTCCATGTAAACATTTTGGGGGGACACACTGTACACGAGAACAACATAACTGGTGCCCTTTATGCGACAACCAAAATGCCACTGAGCAGTCACGTATCAGATGATAATTTCCGTACTGTTTTCAGGAAGTATTATGCCCCCCCCCCCCCTCCCCCCCTCTCCCGAGAACGCTCGTACAACTAACGCAGGAATTTTTATCTCCGTCTGACCGATACATTTTCGCCCAGAACATGCCTTGTATGCTAAGGCGTATCTAAACAGTCCGCGTACCGCGCTCGTTTAAAGAAAGAAACTAAACAACGAGCCCGAGAAACCGCAGAACCGCATCCGCACCTGTTAGAGGGCACCGAGCACACGTACACACAGCACCAATGGTTGCGAACTCGCGTAGGGCAAGATACGCCCATCCAATGACTCTCGACGCAAAGAAATCAGCCGCCTGCGGAACGAATCCGACTCCCAGCGGAAGCGGCGCCGTGTCAGAGTTCAATTACACAAACACGTAATTGCAGGTTGTCAGCGCCCCACAGCCCAAACGGACGCCTTTGGCAGCGCTGTAAAGTAAGCGTTACCCCGCAATCTGGAGCCGGGTGGTCTGACGCCGCAACGCTCAGGGCCTGTGTGTGCACGGCAAATTTGAACATCGACAATTTGTGGCGCAGACATCCGAATGCCCGCTTGCGCCCGCGCCGGCCGAGCTATTCTCCGTTCACCCCTATAAGCTGACAGTGTGGTGGAAGCTATTCGTCCTCGTAGGACCAGTCAGACGTCAACTATCTTGCCACGTGATCACGCTTCCAGGTGCAGAAAGTGGAGTCAGGGAACGAAAAGTAGGCGGCTGATTGGCCCGGAAGGCGTAGCTCACACCGAATTATCAGCAGGGAAACGCGGAGGAGTGCCGCGTGACTGCGCACAACAGGTTTTACGCCGAGTGCGCGTCTCCGAGTAATTTATTGCCACTCATATATACCTTTTTCTCGCACTGCCTTTTCTTCCGAATCTTATTCGCTTCATTTACTCGGTTATTTATTTTGTTAGCTACGCTGAGCGCCTCTATAAGGTGCGCCCAGCCGTGTCTTTCGGCCGCGTAATTGGTGGCACTCGGAAATAACGGCGTGTGGCGCCCCTCTCGTGGCCGGATTTCCAACTTCGATTTGGGGGTGGAGATAAGCGAAAGCACGAACGAGTGCTTTGCGGGTTAGGATTGTACTTAGACATAGCCTACCCCGTATAAGCTAAAAACGTGCACCTTCGAGGCCAGAACCATTTACTGCCTGCGGCCGAGTAAAAAGAGGGAAGAGGAGTGACAGAAAAAGTCGAAAAAGTTTACCAAAAACTGGAAAACCTAGATTAATGAGAGGGACCAGTCTATACCCTAACCCCAACGTTACTAGAACAACTCAGTTGGGAAACTGCCACAGAGCCTGCTCCGAAAAAGTGGCACTGATTCGTACACGAGAACCGAGCTAACGGCGATCGCAACGCCGCCAATTCTCCCGCAGCGGCCACTCGGGGAACTGCACGGTTGCTTGTATTAATTCGGCAGTATCGCATTCGATAGCGTCTACCGTGACCGTTCTATTTTGGCTCTAATCGACCATTTTGGCGCCGGAACATATACAGTGGAAAGGGTTTAGGGATGCCACCCCCGCCTCCCAAGTAGGCTCGCCGCGAATCACTTCCAAAACTAGTGCGCACCCCGCTCGGGACGCGCTACCTGAAATCACCGGTGAGACATGGTTGTATATATAAAAAAAATAATTGTGCCGCAAAACCTTGTAAACTAAAGATATTAGAAAAGCATCACGCGCCTGTCATTCTTTAGTAATCTCCAATAAAAGTTCCTACCAACGAGCTTTTTTTTTTACGCAAAAAACATGCTTTCTAAAAGCTCATAAGAACCACAGTAAAATAAAATAAAAAGGTGGAGCCGCCATATTGGCACTTCGAGCCTGGGCGTTTCGGTACCCTGAAAACATTCAGTGACCCTAGCAGTCTTTTATGTTTCAACTCGTCGCTAAAGGGTGGAGCTGTTATCGTATTTAGCTCGGTCCCGGTGGAAGCCAGCGGTCCAGGTTTCAAGGGTGAGTTTCCCAACTGATGGTTTTAGTAAGGTTGCCTACCGCACATATGAGTCGCCCATACGCATGCGCGCGTTGTCGCGGGGCGAGTGGGATGACGGGCGGAGAGGCAGTGATAAGCTTCGTGGCGCCCAGCGCTTTTGTCAGCTCCGCGTACCTTATATCGAAAACGCGGCCCATGAACCACGAGAACCCAATTGAGCCGTTGGAAACACTCAAATCTAAGCACCCTAGGTAAAATAAAGTAAGTTATACTTCATTTCACCTTTAAGTCACCACGCAGACAACGCTACGTGCTGATGGGACAAATCGGACAGCGTCAGAAACGCGCCATCATGGTTTTCATCATGTTTCTGTGCCCATTCTATCATCGCTGAACCAATCATAAACAAAAAAAAGTCCCAATGACTTGCACTTTTGGCTCTGTTTGACTATAGTCGGTTACAAGTCAAGAAGGTAGGAGAAGCTCCTCCCACAAGCGTGATGCGCCCGTTTCAAATCCCTCCGCAGACGAAAGAAGAGTTCACTGGAAACGTTCCTTGTTCCGCTTCAATGGATTCCAACCTGTTCCCGATCCCACTTTTTAAGAAAGCGACCTTTGTATTCATCGGAGAGGGAACCGAGCCCCTGAAAGCAGCCTTTGTATCCATCGGGGGGGGGAAGCTAATCCCCGAAAGTCGTATTTGTCTCCGTTGGTGGGGGAGAACTCTAATCTCCCTCTCGTGGCTTCCACAATGCTAAGTCAAAGTCGAAAGATAAAGCAAATATGTACAGAAAGGCAAGACCCTCCTCGCGCTATGGCCGCGACGTCAAGGAAACGGTGGGACGCTATTGGATGCGGAGGTAGCGGAGGGATATCTGATTCCCTTTGAGGGGCATTTGCCGCTACCTTCTTAACCTGTAACTGACTATAGTCCCATTAGCTCATATCGTCGGCTACGTTTGAACTTAACCTCCTTTTGTGGCAAAAACAAAACAAAACAAGACGATTGGATTCCTTTATACTTAAGGTCCGATAACTCCTCTCTATCACAAGAACAGAATTGCGCCGAACCAACACCAGCAATGTGCCGAGTAACTGGGAAACGAGGACAAGTCATAGGTGGGGAAGGAGGACGTTTGGATTTCCACAAAAAGAAACAAGAATAAATAAGAGGAGTTGTACTTCGAAGAATTACCACTGGGCGTTTCTGGCGCTAACTTCCCTATCACTGTTATCACACTCTTCCCTTTTGCAGTGTTTGCGGCCCGTACTGGCGAAGATATCGGAGACTTTTGCCGTACTGTGAATGATATGCTGTAGGGCCTCTCCAGCCTAAAATGGGGGTCGTTAATTTTATATAAAAACCTGGTGGTGGGTACTAGGATATCCTCCTGGAAGTGTCTATGTGCAAAAGTTCAGCCAGCGATTCGAAGAAGAAAGCATATAAAACGCATCTGGAAAATCCTGCATTGCGACAAACGTGTTTCGACTAATCTAAAAACATTGATTTCGACTCACTCGATAAACGAGCCGTGACGTAGCAGTATCAGGATGTCGTCTTTTTAGGGCGCTCCATCCTCCGCCCTCCTCGCCATCTATACATTGCCCCCTCTCCCGCCGTCCCGCCTGTTGGCATCGCGTCTATTGCGTAGCTCAACACATCTCGGGTTCGTATTAGCATCAACACGGTGTTACAACTAAGGACAGAAGGAGAGGACACGGAAAGGCAAACACATCGCTGACTCACACGTTTCGTTTCTTCTCATTCTTTGGAAAAAGCAAAACCAGCATACAAAAAAAAAACTGCATTTATTACATTGATTACTTCACCAAGCATATGGTATAATTCTTTGGCGGATAGAGAAATGGAATTGGCGCTGATACACTTGTTATGAAGTCCCGCGATCTTCACTGCCTCAATAACTTGTCTAATTAGAAGGTCGCCACTCCGCGCCAATAAAGTGCATTTTACAAATTGGGGATCACAACCAGTCTGGCAGCAAATCCCTAGATAGCCAGATACAGTCCTCTTTGTGTTCTTATGATACTTCCAATTTGTCCGACATACATCTGCCAATTTGTCCGACATGCATCTTGGGAGATCGGCTCCATGTTGGTGGGGTGGGAAACGGAAAGAGGCGTGACGTCGGGATTAGTGGCTTTAGTATCTTGTTACGTCACAGGTTTCGCCGAGTGACGAAACGAAAATATGTGTACCAAACTTTGAGCTTCTCAAATTAATTTTCTGATGGTATCTTAGCTATATTTGTTATATAATTTAGCAGCGTAATTGAAGGTGCGCAGAACTGAACGAGGCGTGAATACCTAGTTACACAGCTCACTATCTAGAAAAGTTTGGCACAAAACGGTGCACTGTCTGTGTATCAAGGTATCCCAGTATCCTGTTCTTTATAGCTCATTGCCTACCCTGAACATGAATACATAATGTCCCCCTGTGTTAGTCACGCAGCTGTGTCTGTAAAGTCAATAGTTTGAAGACAAGGCCTTCAATGATTAGGGCCACACCAAATTCAGGGCGACACGCATTGCAGTTAAAAGGCTAAAAGTATGACAAAGACCCAAAAACGGACAGGAAAATCTTACCATATTTGGGTAAAATACTGTGAGATTTTGGACGTCTCCCGGATAAATGTCTCCCATGTCGCCTCCAATCATGAGCATCGACTGTAAGAATACATATACCGCCATAGTTCAACAAATAAGATATTTAAGCAGAAGAATTCTGACATGTAACAAACTTTAAATGCATAAAAAAACATGGTAAGTCTAAAAGTGGCTGTGGGCAATGCGCTATCAGAAAACTTTTTTTAGTGAAGTTTCTGCAGGGTATTTTCTATAAGACAAAACAACAATTGTATTATACAAGCTATTTTATAAAACAAGGAATGTTTTCTTTTTTTCCTGCAGGAACTATGCACAGCCCAGAAAAATAAAAATTTGTTCTATGCGTTTCACTGCGAGAGAGCATATTTACAAGGTGTTGAATAATTTGGCTTTTCTAAAAAGCAGCCAATATATAACCAAGGCCATGGACTTTGTTCGTACTTCTTTTTTTCAGTTTGGGGCAAGGCAAAAGAGAAAGGGGGGGTGGGGGAGGGGGGCACACGGTTAAAAGCTTCTCGAACAAAACAAAGTACAGGTATTTATATTATATTCCCGACTTGTTTAGGAGATTCTGAATCTTTTTCCGTAAGTTTATATTTGAACCCAATCTTCATTGATGCTTCTTACAACATTAAGAATTGAAATCGAATTAAACTTCTAGTTATCCCCATTGCTAAACACTTCATACGAAGGCCTTTTCTCCGGCAGTGGCCAAAGCAATATCTTTTGTTATAATTATAATGTTGTTCCCCTTCTCCAGGGATTACTTTCGTCATCTTTTGTTACATGCTATGCGCAGTTTTCACGCATATATTTTGACCAAGGTCAAGTATTGCGATGAGCAATCATTTCACTTGGTATGATTATAGACCCGAAGCACAAAAAGCCGGAGAAAACCCGCGCAACGTTGTAGCACTCTTTTATTATCGGTTCGTGTAAATCTTTCTAAAGCCTCCCTAGTGGAGAGCTCATTTTACAAATGTAAGGCCGTCCATCTGTAGTCAACTTTTTCAAAACTCTACCGATCGTACCTACTACATTTCCTACTTGTGCTTGTTAACAGATCAAATCTTACTACAGGGCATATAACATGGACTATACTTCGTGTCGCCTTAAGTCCAGAGTCTAGACGCAGCCCATGCTACCAGCTGATGGGACCGATCAGACAGCCGCAAAATTCATGTTTCCGTAGTTGTTCTATCATTCATAAAACAATCATAAACAAATGCAAGGTAAATCATAAACGCAAGTATGCGGACTGCTTCAGTGGAGTAATCTCCAATGAAGCAACAAAGTTAAGTTAAGTTCCCTTTTCATGTGGAAAAGTCTATGTGGGGCAGTCAGATCGTTGCATCAATGCCAGATTGAGAGAGCACGACCTCGCGCTCAAGGCTTCACCTGCGGGACATCTAGCGGCACACGTTCGGGACTGCCAATGAACCGGGATAGAGGAAGAAGAAGCGACAAAGTTAGAGCAGGGCTCCGTATGAGCTCCGTCTCAATTCATCCCGGCTGACTGATAATCCTCGCTATCCACCCCTTCCAACGTTACCAAAAGTTGGGCAAGTGTTTCAGCGCAGTGTGAATTTTCTATTTCATCTGTGTGGGAATTTTTTCGCTTTACGAGACGTGTGTTAGACCACGCCGGTGGAGCTAGGCCTAACACTGGGCGAGGCCGCTCGAAAGGCAAAGACCCAAGCTCCACGACATGGAAGTGACTGTCGAGGGCACTGAAATTCCTCCGGAGACGCTCCGAGAACCTGGTTGGCTTCCGGCGCACCGGAAGCACAGGCACAAGAGCCCGGATGCCGAAACTACACCCGCCACGTGGCAACAGTCAACGCCGAGCAGCAAGTTCAGACCCCGAAAGTTACCACCGCTACCTGAACTACCTGCGGAAGACTACAAAGTTGTCATTCGTCTCCAAGGAGGATTCAACGCCAAATCTTGGAGCGCTGCACAGATTTCCGACAGCACCCAACATTGCGCCCAGCTTCGGAGTGGGGCGGACAAAGATATCATCCGGACCATGCCTGAACAAAATATTGTTATTGCCAGTACGCCTGAGGAAGACAACGCGGTCGCCTACTGCAGCCTTAAGGAAGTTAAGATCGGTGCCAGAACGTACTCCTCGACTACTTACGTTACGGCGCCGGACAACTCGGCAAAAGGGGTCATCCACAACATCCCCTCGTACGATAGCCCGGCGGATATTGAACGAAGCCTAGAACGAAATACGCCCAGGGTACTACAAGCGCGACGTCTCGGAGAGACGGCATCGGTGCTCATCGTCTTCGAAGGAAAATCGGTGCCCTACTACGTAAACTACCGTAACACAACATACAGGTGCTTGCTGTATAGAAGAAAAATTGAAGTCTGTGAAAACTGCTACAAGGTTGGGCACATGAAGGATATCTGCCCCACACCAGACGACAAACGCTGCTCAAAATGCGGAACCCTCGCCCCAGAGGGAAGCCACGAATGTACGCTGCGCTGCGCAATATGCGGTGGGGAGCATATGTCTGGTTCGAAAGCGTGCCAACACCGCTTCCACGCCCCACAGAGGGCCGCACGCAGGCAACAAGCTGCAAACGAAGAAGGTATACACCACCCACTTCAAGACCTAGCGTCGGAAGGCAAAGCCGCTCCAAGGACCGGCGCTCTGCCGCTGAATCAGCATATGCAAGTCAAGGGACCTCTCGCAGTCGCAGTGCGCGAAGACGTAGTCAGAGTGCGCGTGGCTGCAGTCGCAGTGCCGGCGGTGGGCGAGGACTGATCGGGCAGAAAGCTGATCGAGGTGACAGTAACTCCACCGGCGGCGAGGAAAACCAGAGACCCTCCAGAGGCTCAACAACCACTAAGGTGACCTGGGCATCGGTAACTGATCCCTCTACTGACCAACGAGCTAATAGAGATAATGAAAATCAAATGCTACGCGCAGAAATCATGCAGCTCCGACAAATGTTACAGCGACAAAATGCTCTCATCGAGAAACTTCAACGTGAACGTCAACCATTGGCATCCCCAAATCCTGTACAAGTTAACGCACCGGCAGATACAGAACAGATGGACGTTCCGAGGTCAGCCCCTAAACGCAAAGCGGTAAAGACAGCCGAAGGGCCACATGAAAACCCGAACACTACTGCTCCACACACAGAACTTGCACCCGCTGTGAAACCACAGGACATAGCGAGACTGGAAACTATGATACAAAACATAATGACAGCCATCCAGACTCAGCATCGAGAAAATACTGTCCGGCATCAAGAAACGACAGCGCAGTTGCAAACGCTTACCGGTAGCACTCTCGACCTAGAAAAGAACATGAAGAAACTTGAAACCCGTCTCACGCCACTAGAAGGGACTGTGCAGCAGATGCAGCAGCAATGCCGGCCGTCTCGTTTCGAGTCGCCCTCCCGAAGTACAACACCACAGGGCATGGACCCCATGAGGCTATGGGAACCTATGTACTCCACTAGAAACATATCCCACCAAGATGGCCAACGATAAATATACGGTCTGGCAGTGGAATTGCCGAAGCTACCAACGGAAAAGAGGAAACCTGCAACAACACTTAATCTCCCAACAAACTCCACCCGCCATCATCTGCCTACAGGAAACTGGGAGGGCACCTAAACTCGCCAGTTACAAAACGTACCAGGGCGCAATGCCAGATAGTTGTACGGCCACCCTCGTACACCGGAACTCGATTGCTCTTCAACATGACATCGCACAATCAGAAATCGATCACGTCCTACTAGAACTTGTCCCACGCAGACCAGTGGAGCCGAGCCTATTTGTGCTTAACATATACAGTAGCCCCAAATTCAAACAGCATCGGTTTCACTCACTCTTCCATGATACGCTACTCCGGGCTAAGCAGAACCCCTTGCTAATTGTGGGAGATTTTAACGCCGCCCATGCTGCCTGGGGGTATCGCACCGAAACACCCAAAGGAAGGCATCTATGGATGGCGATACAACAGGAAGGGCTTACCCTTCTAACGGATCTACAGCACCCCACGAGAATAGGTAACAGTAACAGAGTACACAGTCTCTACGCCGATGACGTCACACTTTGGGCGGAGGCAGGCACGGCTGGAAGTCTCGAAGGTATATAGCAAGAAGGCATTGACGCTGTACAAAAGTACGCAGGCATCCGAGACATGGCCTGCTCCACTGAGAAGTCGGAGTACATGGTGCTCAGACCAGTACAGAGAGGCAAAGCGACGCGTAAACAACCTTGCAGACTGAAGCTGACTCTACAAGGCACAGAAATAAATGAGGTCGACGCCATTCGCATTTTGGGTATGTTGTTCCAGGGCAACGGTCATAACAGCGAAATGATCCGCAAACTGGATAGTGTCACACATCAAACTACCCGCGTCATCAAGCGAATATCAAACAAGCATCACGGAATGAAGGAAAATGATTTAATTCGGCTCGTACAAGCTTTTGTGCTTAGTCGCATCAACTACGTCGCCCCATACATGAAACCCTACGCAGTGGAACGCAACAAATTTAACACGATCATCCGAGGAGCATACAAGACGGCCTTAGGGCTCCCTATTGGCACATCCACTGACAAACTACGAGCGCTCGGAGTTCATAACACCGTGGAAGAAGTCATTGAAGGACACCTTCACTCTCAATATACTCGCCTCACCACCACGGCGACGGGCCGACATATTCTTGCCGTGCGAGGCATTCAACACGAGGGAACGACGCAGCTTAAAATGAACCTCCCAAGGGAAGTCCGGAAGCACCTTCTGGTCTCCCCACTGCCGAAAAACATGCACCCGGAATACCACGATGCACGTCGCCGAGACCGCTGCAAGCATCTTCACGAACGATACCATCAGGATCTCGGTGCAGTTTATACGGACGCGGCCGACCATGCCATGAATCCAGCAATGACGATAGTCGTCACGAACTCCCAGGGGGTACTTCTCAGTGGCGGATCCATCGCCACCACCAGTACTGAAGATGCGGAAGAGACAGCCATAGCCCTAGCCCTCACGCTACCTAACGCTACCACCATCATTTCGGACTCCAAGCGCGCAGTTCAAAATTACGCCCGGGGCCGCATATCGAGGTTCGCGGCCAGGATCCTCCGAGACATCGTCCCCACTGACACGGTCAGCATTGTCTGAGCACCCGCCCACTCCTCTCTCCCTGGCAACGACTTTGCCCATAACACAGCCCGAGAACTTGCCTACCGGGCACCGGGAGATGGGGAAAGTGGTTTGACCCTCCACAAGGATGTACTGACCACGTATCAGGAATCTACGCAGGCATACCGTCTCGCTTGGAAACGATACCCGCCGGCCACAAATCCTTAAGCAAGGCCCAGGAACATACCTGGCGCCAATTGCAGACAGACACATATCCTCATCCCACAATATATTCGCACATTTATCCCGATAGGTACACGGGCATATGCAAATTCTGTCCTCAGCCAGCCAACCTCACCCACATGATGTGGGGGTGCCCCAACCTCCCAAAGAGATATGGAAACGTCGAAACTATGGAGCAGTGGGACGCACTGATGTGTAGCTCAGATCCGGTCGTTCAAGCGGCGGCCTGTGAATGGGCTGCGGTGGCCGCCGGGGCTCAAGGGCTCCCGGTCGCCTGATCCCATCATTTTTCCCATCTGAATGTACGAAGAATAAAGTTTTCAACGACAACAACAACACCAATGAACCCCATTGTTCAAAAGCACAAAAGTGTTACATCGTTTTAGAGAAAAAAGATGTAGGGAAATCTACGAAGCGCACATGATTATGAAAAAATGAGGTGTATGCATCAGTGCTCCGTCAGTGGCCCTATCGGAGATAAAACGGCAATACCTTGATCTGTGTCCCTGAGATCCGAGTCCGGCGGCGTGTTGGATGCGGCCCAGGCAACAGAATGTAAAGAACCGTGACATGGTCACCGGGAAAACTGTTCGCCATTCAAATCATGAACACAGGTCTTCCCGGTGTCATGGAGGTCGCTGTCGTTTTGGACACCGTGGCCAACCATCAACCTTAGAACTTAATCCTCCTTCTCTGTTTCTTTTTTTGTCTTTTTCTTTTTTATTGCCATTTCTCTTGCTCTTCCACTCCGCCTTTCACTGACAATTTCTCATGTTTATATTCGCGTGTCTTTCACTTTCAAAGTTTCAGTACTTCTTCTCTGTCTTTCTTTCACTTAGTATTAAACGCCACTTGTAAGTTGCGCTCTTTCCTGTCTCTACGTTCTTGCTTTCTTGTCTTTGTACTAATTTCACCAAGATGTATGACCGACTAGCTCACCGGATGATTTTAAAAAATACCCAGTAACTTGCGCTTTTTGACGCTGCTTGATTGGTCAAAACCACTGCACAATGGCGAAACAACTGCACGGAGGAACGTCGAAGCACGGCCAACTATACGAGTCGACAAGCCAATCAAACAGTCAAAAGTGCAACGTCACTGTGCTCATCACCTTCTGTAGACGTGTTTTTTTTTTGTTTTTTTTTTTTTTTGTTTCAGTGTGCCATGACGTTGAGGCTTTAGTTTGCCATTGTGCAGGGATTCCACAGCGCCCTACAGAGGGCAGTATTTCGAAAGTGGTCTATACTAGACTTCTGAATCCAAGCGTCCCGCAGCACTCGTGTGCAATATTTTCCCCGCACTATCCTCGGAGAGCTGACGTGTAAAATCGAGAAGTGTGGCCTTGTTATTGGGAGGTGTTGAGTCGGCTCCCTTTGTTTAGAGATCCTCTATTGTTTCGCAAGCAGTGCATGAGATGGCGGGTACGTACGTCACAGTCAATGTCAGTCGGAGACACTTGCTGGCAGCAGGTCCGGCTGACGATAGAAAGCGACAGCGGGTCGTGGCCCAAGTTGATCACCGTCACGTCTGTTGTAAAGAAAACGTCGCGTAATGTCGTGTCGGATGTACAATTAAAATGTACAACAAATGAAATTATCTACGACTCGAAAACCACGCTCGAGAGAGAATAGGCGTCATGAAAAAGTTGTATTGCATTCTAAAATTTTAAAATGATAAACAGAACTTTGCCGACTGCGCGTAGCCCGCGGACGGGATTCGAATCCGCCAATCGAGGAACCTGACCTCGGGATTTTTAGGGAATACTAACGGGAGACTATGAATCGCTCGCTTGGTGGCCACGTCGTGTTAGAAACAGAAAAAAAAAAAAAAAAAGGTTTTGCTCACACCTTCAAACAAACTTCTTTCTTTCGAGAGGGTGGGGGGGGGGGGGGGGGGGGGGGCGTCAAAGTTAGGGCAACAAATAGAGACTGCTTCATCTTTTGTTAATGGGAACAGCTGCGCGAAGGTAAAAATAAACGAAGACGCACATTAACAAAAACAGTGAACCAACTAGGTCAACTAAAGGCCGTTCTTCGTCGTGTTTTTGTTGAAGAATGGTCCCCAGATCTTGTGCTGAGTTACCGGTGGGGACGATTATTGGAAGTTGGCGGTGACGATGTGCAAAATCCTACTGGTGAGCTTGACGTTTGCTGGTTTCCCGTCCATAAGAACAACAAGTAGTGCAAACTAGGATGAACGAATTCTCATCGTGCTTTACAAATGACGCGGTAGACTATGTTGCGCATGACGAGCATTTGCGCCTGATTCATGTAGAGACGTGGCAGGATCAGTGATGTAAAAGGGGACTTCTCTGCGCTTGCCCTTGCACTCAGCGATCATGAGAGACTCAGAGAAGAGTTGAGCTTTTACCATGCCTGTTATACGGTACAGGTCATGTGGGAGAAAAGTGACTGCAATCTTACCCAGCAAAAAAAAAAAATCTTTAAGTCATTTTACTTTGGTGAAGACGGATTGGCAGGAGAGCTCGAGCTTCGGTTCTTGACGGTGGCTTTCCAGGCGAGCGATCTGCACTTCTTTCGCAAGGGAATCTGAAGCGCTCGACGCAGTGGAACTTTAGGCGATAGAGGCCTCCCGGCGGTTGCGGAACTTTTCGTCATCTATGAGTGACGGCGGCAATCAGTTGTCTGGTTGCCGCCGTCGCTCATAGATGGCGGTAGCTGTCCAGAGTTCGGCGTTATCATTTGTTTGCTGGTGGACACGATCCTGGGGAAACTAGCCCTCAACAGCACCGCTGTAAAAAAAAAAAAAAATTGTTGAAATTGAGTTTGTTTTAGGGCACGTGATGGCGGCCCAGTGTTGATAACGACCCGGATCAGAAGGCTCATGATTAAGAATTGGATGTAGATCTCTGTTCTTGGTCTGAATATATTTCCTGGGCCGAATAAGCGGTGTCATCTCGTCTATTATCATGCTTGGGTACAAATTTAGCTTCTATGGAATTTAGTAGGCGCTCTCCCCCGCCCGCCATGGGGGCATGATGGCGAACTCTATGGAAGCGACCAATTTGTTGACAACTGCGGGAAACCGTGTTTCTGGACAGCCAGCGTGCGGTGTCCTGGCAGAGGCAGCACGAAGTAGGAGTCTGGCATGGCAACTCCTTGCTTGAGGGATGTCAGCGAAAATATCACCTTGGATTGGAACGCTTGACGGCGGTGACTCACGGCGATCACAATGACAACTTGATAAAACCGTGTTACGGTGGTCTGGATGATGCAAAGGTGCATTAATTATTTATTTGCTTTGAAGATTTATATTTGTCCTTTGTCCACCTTGTTTCCCTTCTCTAGGGATCATTATCGTTATTGATAGTTCAGCCTCAATTGAAGATTAGATGGTGCCGATTTGTCGAGGATATCATCGTCTTAAAGAAAATTATCCGGCGGATTGATCAGGATGTTGGTTAGAAATAAGTAAAAAGACAAAAAACTTGATCATTATATGAAGACCCAATTTACCAAAAAATAAAAATAGACAAAAATCGCATAAAAATCTGGTTTCAAATTTTCGGCGTTTTGTTAAATTTTTATTGCTTTTCAATGAAGATGTAGGATGCTGGTGTTGTCGCTTGGTGAAACACACGTGTCGGCATGCTGGAGAGCGTGCTTTGGCGGGCTTCCGCCATGATGGCTTTTTGAGAACGTGGCGAAATCAAATGCAGAAATTTGAGTTAGGGCAACCATTTCCTTTTTGACGACTTCGGAACGAGATGATGATGATGTGGCTTCAGACGCCACGCGCCTTCAGCTACTTTGGTGACCTGCTCCATACAAACAGCGTTTTTAGAGCTTTGTCAAACGTGGATATTTTTTTTTTCTGACAGCAGTTAAGGTCTCATATATTTGCTCGAAGTTTACATTCGAAACACTTTTGATGACTAAATTATATGGCACCGGGACATATGTATAGGATTTAATGACACTTCGAGATGCCTGTCTTAACGGAGAAAACGGCTGCGGTCTAGGCTGATATAATAACAGATATAGGAAATCATCTCTTACGAGAAAAGGACTACTTGTAACTTATTATTTTTCTAATTAATTTTTCATGGTTCATTTTGACAGCAGTCTTGTTAATGTAACAATACATCTCTAACAAATCACTCTTAATTAAGACGAACTATTATATAGTTTGTTTCTAACGAACAACATATGTTACATTTATAAAAGAGGAACATAATGCTAGAAATACAGTCACATGTTTAGTCAATTCAATGGCATAAAAAGACTCAGTAATACAAAGTTATAAGTAAACATCGAGCACGCCATAGACGCGATCAAATGGAAAGCAACCGCGTTGATTTTGTTCTTTTTTTTCTTTCTGGTATGCCACTGTTTCACTTTTATGTTTTTTTTTTTTTTTTGCATTTTTAGAAAGCGGGCGAAACTTCGAGTGAAGAACCGCACATTATATATTGACTATAATTTTTTAATACAAGCGCCAGTGGAGTCCGTGTCAATTTCTCTAATAGCTTTTTCACCTATGTTACACATTGAGCGGTTGCACAAGTCTTGACTTTCGTAGAAACCATCGAAGTTAGAAAAACAATGAAGCCATATTCTATTGAAAGATATTTTACCGGAAAGTCATTTCCAGTAAAAGGTCGACTTTACTGAATTGTGTGACTCTTTTCACTTCCAGTATAGCCGGAATTCACCGCAGATCACTGGAATTTACGAGAGGTCATCGGATTTGCCTGGATTTCCCGGAAATTAGCGGAAGTCACCGGATTTGCCGGGATACACCTGAAGTTACCGTTTTTTTGTTTTTGTTTTTTCTGACGCCACCGGTAGGCATTTAGGAAGGAGCCTGTGAGCCGTGGTTGGTGTATGTTTACCAGATGCTGAAGGATTCGGTAACCAATAAATCGGTTAGTCCATATAGACTTAGAAGTTCCATTTCTTTACTTCACAACAGAACATTGCTCATTGTGAAATCAACTTTATTTCACAACTGAACATCCTAAACAGAACATTGGACGATTCAATACAAGAACAAAACAACGGACGGGAGATTCGATAGAATAAAACGTGAATTCCAAAAAGTTCAAAGGGCAGGCCTCACTCAAATTGAAGTGGAAGGTGCATCGTCGGGCTCTCCGCGGTGGTAGTCAAACAGGAAGACGACAGCTGCGAGTCCGACGATGAAGAAGCCTCAAGTATGGCGTCGCCTAGTCGCCGTTTCCCCCAGACCACCCCGCAACCACGAACGTCATGTTCCCTTCCTGACCGAAAAACTCTGTCCGCCCGCCCTCCGAAAACTGCCCCACCCTCTCGCGTCGCATTCCGCGAACAGACTTTAGTAACTTAACCTTTTTAGCGAAAAACCCGAGAGTGAGGTATTGACAGACGACGACAAGGAAGAGCAGGAGAACGCTGGGCGTACACTTATGTTCATGCTTCCCGATCAATTCATTCGTGTTCATATCGGCAAAGGAACATTCATTGGCTGTGGGACGATAACATACTCATGACTCAGCATGCCCGGTGTTTTTCAAGCTGGCGGTGACAACATGAGGAAGGGAGAGAAAGAAAGCGTACTGCGAAAGCAAGAGGCAGCAGGCAGTTTCATTCCTGGTCATAAGTGAAGACAAAACATCTCGTACAACAAACTCGTGATTGGACATAACAACCCGTAACACTGGATGTCCATTGCAGACAGAGACAAAGTATACAACGTTTCATGTGCCGTTGCATGTGGGCTGCCATCTTGGAATCACGCGACGCTGGCGACATTACATGGCTTCAGCTATGCGGAGCGCAAGTTTGTCTGCTTCTTTACAAGGGTTGCGGTGACGTCAGAACGCCGAGCTCTTATTGGCTGATTGAAAGAAAATAGTGGGTAGGCCTCGGGGCATCTATCATTATGGCCTATTCGCTATCCTTTCAGTCAAAGCCAATCAGAGCTCGACGACGTTCTGACGTCAACGCAACTCCTGTGCAAAAAGCAGACGAACTTCTGCTCCGCATAGTTTTCTCTGCGCCTTGGTGAATGGGAGGTCGGTGGCCGGAGAAAGAAGACGCCGCTGAGAACGGTCGTGTTTTCGATGTTCTCCAAGGAAAACATACCGGCCACCGGCCGGGGAACCGCTGAGGCTTCGGCCAGTACTACTGAAATGTTGACCAATGAATACCGGACCGTGCTACCTCGTTTACCCACAGGTAACTTGAGCCTGAACTCAGTCTTTCTTCATGGCGATCTCGCCGCACGACCCTACCGAGCCCCAGACCTCCGTGACGCCTTACGAGATGTTGACGACGCCCAAGATATCATCGGAATAAGCCAATTTCAGATGAGCCATGTCTGGATGGTAACGTGCGCAAACGCCTTAAGTAAAACTAAGCTTGTAAACAAAACGGAGCTTACCGTGAAGGGACGCAGATGCCTCATAATCGATCCCGACACCAGAGATGTGAAGCTGAAACTTCTCTGGTTACCTGTACACATGGAAAACCAGAGAATCGAAGAGGCACTGGCGCCTTTTGGCACGGTCCGTTCCATTGTACGAG